GACATATAAAACTCATGAAAAATAGGCAAGGGTACATCTCTATCTTCAACTATTTTTAGAAGGGAAGAAAGACAAAGATGGAAATAATCAATTCCCATTACTTATTAAATCCAATTGAAGGATCTAAAGCAGTTCATTCAAAAATCCAGTTCCCCCAACACTCAACTATCTCTATGTTAATTTAATGTTAACCATAACAGAAAAAAGATAACCTGAGATCCTTTCCGCCACTTGTCTTTTGGGATGATAGGTAACATCTTCAAGCTGCATCTACAATCCTTTACATCAAGAAAGCTGCAAAATGAGGTAATTTCTTCAGTAGGAACCAGAAAAGGCTTAAAACAGATAGAACACTATCATTTCATTTATCATGGAACCATTTGTAAAGAATCAATTCCAGGCACCTCAAAAATCAAGAATGCTGCCATCTACCTGTCCACTTAACTCCTTGGAGAAGCCATCAGATACTTGCATATATAGCTAAAACTGTAAAGGGTAACACAACTGCAATACAAAAACAAGAAAACCCTGGATTAACATGAACTCAACGAAACTGTTCGCGGTCGAAGCAACAACCTTGTCTAAGCTTTACAAACGTGTCAGAAAGCAGGACAAATGTTTGATTTGCCGGGTCTTCTAGAGCACCTGCAAGGAACAACCTCTCTGCTTCTATCATGCTTGATTCTCCCCATTTCACCTGCAATAACAGATTGAATGAACTCACAATCTCATATGGCATTGAACTTAACAAGTTTCTAACAAAAATTATGAGCGTAAAAATAAATTGAATGGATAAAGTGCTGTTTGGATTGAGGGAAAATGAAAGAAAGGAAAGGATGGGGAATTGGAATTTGGAAATTCCACGCCGTGATATTCTGGAGTTAGTTGACAGTTCTAGAAAGCGAAAGAGAGCCAAACGAGAAAGGGGATTGCCTGCCGGAAATTTTGCGGGTCTCATATATGGGCTGGACCGGACCGGGTAGCTGAGCAGCCCAAGTCAAAAGAAACTGAGTTGGTTCGGTCAAAGTCTCCCCCTCTCCATTTGTACTCTCTCTTCAAAATCTCTTCTCTTTGACTTTCCCTTTGAATCCACCGTGGTAACCAATTGAAATCGATCTCCACCTCCTCCGATTCACTTAAAATCTTGGCCATTATCACTCCAATCTCCGATTCAACTAGAATTGAGCTCCGGTGGCATTTCAGTACTCGGCTTCCGGTGCATCAAATCATCCACCGCTGACTAGCATCTTTGATTCCAATCTCCAAGTCTAATGGCTATGGAGATCCATTTGATTTCCGGCGATTCATTGTCTCCGACCTCGCTCCAGATATGGCCGCCAGCAGCTGTCACTCTCCGGCGACTTCAGCTCAGATCCGGCGATCTTGACGATTTATGATATGCTCCTCCTTTGGTAATGATCTTCATAACCTAGTTCTACATGTTAGATTTCTTCATCCTTCTTTTGATTAAATTCGAATTTCCTCTTGGTTTCTTTAATTTTCATTTTTTAGTTTATCTGAATTTAAGTATTAGCTTGATAATTTTCTACGTGAGTGACAGTGTGTCGCAGCTATTATAAAAATTAAAAGAAATATGAAATGTTTTGTTTTCATTTCTGGGTTCATTTTTCTTCTGGGCTTTGTTGTTTTCTTCCATTATAAACCTCTTAACGTTTCTCCTAATTCTGCATAGAAACATGGGGTCTTCTGGACACAACGAAAAAACCTTTTGCGTAGCCAAGGAAGTGGTTTCTCCTAATTCTGGGGCTAATGTTTTTGTTTCAGAGGACGCTAATGTTTTTGTTTTAGAAGACGAGTGTGACTTGAATGTCCAGGATCTGGTGAACTTTATTCCTTTGCAGTTCCTTTTCCCTCACTTTGTTTATTTCCTATCAAGCTTTTAAAAATATTTGTTGTCATTCACACAAAAATGGTGCATTATTTCATAATAATTTAGATCCTCCTTATCCGCTTGCTATTAGTTTATCTCAATAATGTGGAATTTTTTGATGGAATTAAGATAGTTTATTTTTATGAGGTGGTGTCTGAGCAACCATGTCCATATATCGAGCTTTGCATCTCATTTGCACAATACATTTCGTGAGAGGGCCTTCTATAGGATAAGTTTACACATCCTCATCTGGTGGACTTATGGAAAGGTGAAACATTTGAGCACATGAAAAGTTTATGGTCAAATTGGAGATAAATATTTGAGCAAGAATTTACAACACATGCATTGACAATCATATATACCTAAACCTGTTGAACAAGGGGATTGAGTGTGGCTGGTTAAGGAGTATTATTCAAGTGATGAATGAATATGTGGTATAGTATTTTTTTAATATTATTTTTAAGTAATTGCAAAGATGTTTCTATTGTTGTTTACATGTCTATCTTAGTGTTGTGACTTGCATGTTAGCGTCCTGTGGATAGATATATCTAGATACTTTGCCAATTACCATCCAATTTCCAATTGCATTGGTTAATATGTTATCATAATTTGTTCATTCTCTTATTTAACAGCTTGTTTAGCATACATGGAGACTTTAATTTGCACCACTGAATGAACTTGCAAGCTTTGCAAAACATAACTTTATCTTTTATTTTTTTTTTCCAGTCAATTTTCTTTGAATTGTAATATTGTATGAGTTTTTGGCATTCAAATTTTGGTTGCTTTCCACTGATTATTGGTTTTTTGTCTATCTTTTCTAATGATGCTGTTTTTGGTTAGTGGAAAAATTCTAAATGTCTCTGCTTCAGATCCTGATCAATAGCCCTTTCCCACCACTTCTTGGTCCAAAGCATTAATATGATTTTCATGGATGTTTGATAAGAGTTAAGAAATGTTTGATTGAATTGAATCCATAATTTTTGGGAATGCCCACTTGCTCATACATTTTTTGATGTCTAACATTAGAAACTGAATGGATGGTAGATTTCTACTAAAATGCATATGCATTTTTGTTTTTGCACCACTGGTACACCAATAAGTTAAAAGACAAAAACTGCTAAATGGTATTAGTATATAGTGAATGGTTTGGTCAACAGATAGGGTAGGGTAGGGTAAGGTGTATTTGTTATTGCCTGAATGAATCAGTTACAGCCTACAGGCAACCAGCCAAGACGCCTTGTACCATAGTACGCAGAAAAATAAACTCCTTTCAACAAATCAGTTGCATATGTTTTATTTTATTTTTTTTCATATGATATCATATGATTTTCATTTTGTTTCTTAGGCTTGAATGCCTATGTGACTCATAAGGTGTGTTGGTCCGATGCATAATTGAATTTGAAACTTAGGTGATTTTTCTCATTCCATGGATTAACATATTTCATGCCTTAAAACACTTCTGGTTTCATTTTTTCCTTTTTTCCTTTTTCATTTCCAGGTGGAACATATGGATGGATTGTTAATACTTTTTGGTGCTTGGATATCAAGATTTGGCCTGTTAGTACTTTGTGGTTCTTTTGGGTAGACTTGGTTCCTTTTGTATAAGCATGTAGAACGGTATAGGCATATAGAAATGCTGTAAGCATTATGGAAAGTGGGTTCTTTTTGGTAGTGTTTTTATGGATAGTTTAAAAGCTCCTTTATTTTTTGTAATTCCTTGGCTTTAAATGTTGCTACTTCAGGTTGGGTTTTTTAACTCCAGCACTTAAATTCTTGTAAACTTCAGGTTAGGTTTCTTTTTTTGTAATACATTTGTTATAGTTTTGTATTAATCTGCAATTCCTTTTTTTTTTTCATAATGATTGTCCTTGCAATAGAATGCTGCATTGTAATTTGCTAATCATGCATGCTGAAAAACATGCAGTCTATCATTAGTCTCTCTTGATTTCCTGCAGTTTTTCATTTTATTAATTTCACAATTTGGTTTCAACTAATTATTGATTGAAATCTCTTAAAATTTTACACTACAGCTAAGAAGGTAAGAGAAGAATATCTATTGGTTTTGTATATTAATTTGCTAGATGGTATTTGGAGGTACCAATGTTGGGAGATGTTGCTGATGAAGTGATGATATGGTGAAAGGTAGAGAGATGTGCAAGATGTGGAGCCTCTTCTCAATGAGCTATTGGTATAGCTAATTCATAATTATAAATTTCAATTTATCTGTTCCACGAGTAAATGAGTTTACCGTTTCTGAATTTCTTTTCCTAGGATACTTAAAAATATGGATGAACCATGTGCATCTAAGATTGAACTGAAATTAACTACTAATAGTATTTATTATAAAGTTCTAAGCATGTTGTTAGATATGCATGATGGAGAATCTCTTTAATGATTCAAATTAAACATGGTTTTTACAACATATATCAATACTTGAGCATGAGAAAGAGAACCATATAAGGAATACACTCAACATATTATATGTAAATTAATATTAACTTTTCTTTCCATTGTAAATATAGTCACTATTTTCTCTAAATGTTACCTGTTGTGCTTTAGTCTTAAAATCAAATGGTCAACTACTCTTGGAGAGAAGAAATGAAGCTCAAGAAACAGATCTTAGCTCATCTAATATAGAGGTTGTAGTTTTAGAAAGAAAATAATGGAAACAAATCAAATGTAATTAAAGCATGGAGCGACAACAAATGAAGTGCCCACTGCAAAGCTGCTGGGTTGTTAGATTTGATGAAGGCAGTCGGAAATGTGTCCTAGGATCTTTGTATACACAAAAGATGGCTAATGTAGCAGCAGTGGTGGTGAAGAGGATGAGGCAAAAATGGCTATTGTAGAAAACATTCCAGAATTTATGAACCGAAGTAAAACAAAGAATTTCAAAAGATAAATGATTTGTATGTATTGAAGGGCAGGTCTCTCAAACCGAATAATGTTTTCAAAACTAAAATTTATAGGCCTCCATAACTGCTTCCACTTAGTAAAAAATCAAATTTGAATCACCTCTACATTGACAATGAAACTTGATCTCAACAACCCTTTTCACTCCTTCATGCACTTTGCCAGTTAGCCAGAAACAAGAAAAACATGGCTAGAATTCAAAAAAAATCTATCAGATAAAATCCCTAAAATTTAGCCAGAAACAAAAAACAAGGAAAACGTGGCCAAAATCCAACAAAAATCTACCAGATAAAACCCCTAAAATTTAGCCCCATCTTTCTCCATTTGACTGTGTCAATCTTTTTTTTTTTAAATTAATTATCAAATCTCCAAACTTCTTGAATGATCAAAATTTGAAATCTAATAGAATACCAACCCACGAGGACTTTGATGGATAAAATACAAAAGTACTTGGTTGCACTTTCCTTTGATCATATAATTTCTTTTAATCTAACAAACTCTCTACTGTTAAATCTACTTCCAAAATAAATAAAGTTAGACTTCCCGTGCTTCATTAAGAAAAATGCTAAAGATTCTAGCCTAGTAAAAAATAATCCATACCAATCCATGGCAACATAAAATGAACTCAATTGTACCATATCACAGCCAAAATAATTTATAATAAATCATGAAAAATTAATGGCTACTCAATTCTTGTAGGGACACATGGCATCATCCCAAAAAATTGCTAATTGTGGTGTAAACAAGACTAGTATAAAATAAAGAAAATGTTGTGCCCAAAAAATAATAATAATAATAAAGAAAATGTTTCCTTATCAATTACAACTCATTAAGCAATACATTGCTTAGTGAAATAAGTACTCCCAAGAATTCAAATACATGTAAATATCTTATTTGTACTAATAAATTGCTCAATTGAGTCCCCATTACCCCTGCAAAGCGTGGTGAGGACCACTCGTATAGATATAAAAAGAAGGACTGATAAAGCACACACACTTGAGGCCAAAAAATAAAAAAGAAAAAGGAGAAAAGAAAACACACACACACACAAGAACCAAAGGTGATTGATCTGGTAGCTCAGAATCAATCATTATCTGGTGACCCATGCTTTGTCATTGTGAAATTAGCCATACACAGCCAAATGAAGGTGAATAGTTCTCCTCCTTTACTTGGTTGTTGTGAATGCACACTTGGCCTACATCTGTGCGCAGCATAACACATTAGGTAAACCCAATCTTTTCTCAATTTCCTACAGGAAAATGTCCCGTTCTTGATTGCCGTCGGAAAAGTTTGCCCGTCAGCAGTAGAAAACATTTTTAGATCCTCTCCCTTTTCAAATTTAGCTGAAAGAATTTTGGTGCTGGCATCCTTATCATTTGAGACTGAACTTCGGTCTAAAATTGACAGGGTCTCCTCAAGTGCGTCTTTCAATACTTTTTCCCAATTATTGGAAACAACCGACATCATAGCAGGCTCCATCATCATGAGGTAAAACATATAATCCGAAATTAGCTTGCAAATT